ACACAAATTGAAAAAAATATATTGTAATAAAAGAAACATTTTATTCATTGCAACAATAATATGCTATAATAATATCTACTACATATGCATGTGCCATGTCATGTTTCAATAAGAAATAAACAAAGCCACTTTCACATGGCACTCTCTCTCAAGGTCTTTTGTGTGGAGCACATGCATCTCATAATCACATCTTGCTCACTGTACCAAGCCTTGATGAATCATCATGTTAAATACAAACACATCACATCACATGCATTGGATCTACTTGACATTGATCAAATTTGAGATTTACAGATTAGTCTTCAAATATCAAAAAGGAAGACATGTAGGAGGACACTTTTCGAGGGAGGACAGAACTTAAAAAAGAAGGACTGTCCTCCCTAAAGGAGTATGATTGGTCACCTTAATTTAATTAATCATTCAGCAGTGACCGACAGATATATCTCTCAAGAGTGATCATATGGCACTGGTGAATGACGGAGATATCCGTAAAATTCTTTTGTGGATATCTTCATTATTCACCAGTTTTTGGCAACTACCACGAAAAAAAATTCACATAAAAAAAGGAATTATGTAACAATAAAAAAAGACTTTTCTTTCCTAGACATAACTGTTTACAAAATCTTTTTCCAAAACAGTAATGAAAAAAAACATGTGGAAAAATACTTTAAAAATCCCACATTTTTTCCCTTTTCCCATATTTATTCTCCACTGCTGGGGGTAGAACCATACCCGACTAGTCCACTGTTGAAAGGTTAAGTACTAAAAACTGTTAAGAACTTTTTCTTATAATTATTATTGTCATTTAGTTATAAAGTTAACATCAGTGAATACGTGTATATGAAATTGATTTCTCTTTTTTACTTTGAATAACATCAAAATAGAAAATCATTATATGTAAGGTAGTAGTCATAATGTTATTCAAGTTGCAATAGTTTTGAAAATATTTCCTTGTTTATTCAAACTTTTAGGTTTATTGTCATACATAACAATAAATTATAAAAAATAAATAATGGATGACTTTTTGCACAAGTGGATCAATAAATGATTATTTTTGTGTATATACAAAATGAAATTAATAAAATCTTAAAATCTGAAAGGCATATTTTAAAAAAGGTTTTATTAAGTTTTAAAATTAAGCATTCATTAATTTTTCAAAGTAAAACAGACTCCTAAATAATTTTGAAATGGTCTGTTTTATTTACAATCATCAGTCTTACATTTCTTAATAGCTAAATTTCAATAATAAAAACTGAAATTGAAGTAAGTTATTTGTTATGAATCAAAATTGTCTTGAATTGCTATTAATATAAATGTAATCAATGTTACATTTCACATGTATTAGTTATTATCAATAATGCATAATTTTGTTTCATTATATAATATACAGTGACTCCAGTTTACCAGACTTTTTAAAATTTTATAATAGCACTTGGGATGTAGAACCATTACAAACAAATATATTGGGTTGCATAAGCAAAAAGTTTGAGAAACACTGGTCTAGTGTCTTTACTTAACACTTCATTGTGATTTTAAAAAAGTATATTAAGATACTGTTTTGTATGTTGGCTTCAAAAGCTTTTTTAAATTATAAAATCTCATTTATATATTCATAAGCCTTATACACTAACATGAAAATATCCAAATAAAATATTGTGTAAAGGAATATACCACAGTTCAATAAATTGCAAACAATAAGAAATTATAATTTATTTATATTACACATTCTAGAGAATATACATATCTGATTATTTTAAATATAAATGTAAATCTATCTTCCAACGTTAATATTTAATTTAGAATTAACATTTCCAATTGGATCTCTGCAAGAAAAAAAAATTAATGAAAGTTTATTTTAAATAATAGAATGAACAAAAATTAATTTTAAATTATTTGAATAACTGTATATATAGTACAATATTGTACATATAGTAATTTGAATAATATTGTATTATACTGATATTGTTTAGAAATGACAGTTATTTAATCAGGTATTTTCTAAATTTTTATTAACTATAAAACTCCCAGTTAAACATTTCTATTATATACACGTAAATTACAAAACTGTTCATTTTATTGTAATAATTATATAGTATTCATCTCCATATACAGGGATATTTTGAAGTATATGTGTCAGATTTCTTCAAAAAGTTTTCCTATAAGTTTTTTGGATATACATTTTGATTGAATTTTCAAATCTCTCTCATTTTCGTTATTTTAAAAATATTTCTTATTAGATAATAAAATACTAAGATAATACTAATATTCTAATACCTGTAGAATATTTTCAAGACAATATATTTTGAAAATATTATGCAACTAGCAGGTAAGCCCAGCAATGTCCATGCAAAACATACCAACAAATATTAAGTTTATACGATTATTTTGTACTTCTAATCCTTCTATTATATTACATTATAGTACTTGATTTATATAATTACAAAAGTTATCTTATGTAAGGATTTATCACACTGAATGACCAATCTAACACATTTTTTAAATTCTTTCTTCCTCTACACAATTTAAAGAATTTTTAAAATATGTTAGATTGGTCACTTGGTGTGATAAACTCTTACATAAATCAAATACTATAATATAACAAACATTAAAATGAAAACGATATAAAGTTTGGTTATTTCAGCCTACCATTGTGATGTCACATTTATCACGATACTCAGATGGTACGAAATGGTACAATTTCAATGGTCAAGTAGACACCAATTGAAAATATGATATCTTAAATTTTTTCAGATATAATTTTTTTCTAATGTTAACTCTAAGAAACTACCATTCACAGGTGAATACCAAATGATAATATGACAATGAATGGAATATAGATAGAAATTAATTAATATATAGAAATCCAATCAATATTTAGGGGTGATATTTATAACATTATCTAAGTTATAAGTATGTTAATGTAAATGCTAAGTTTCATAGCAATTGGTCAAATGGCCTAGGTGTGCATAGTGAACAAACAAACATCCTCATTTATATACATAAATAAATAAAGTAATTACAGAATATATGTATAAACATTGTGAGTTTCTATATATATATGTAGATAATTTAAGTATTTTTGTTTTCTTTTTTGAACATATTAAAGGCTATTGTGAAACAAGATAAAAAAGCATATAAATTAAATTATAAATATTAATTTACAGTAGAGCATTGATTATCCAAATATTGATCAACCGAAACGTCAATTAACCGAAAGCTTTCCAGTCAGCAAATTTAAATTTCTGTTAGTGTTGTGGCACTGCAGTCTTTGGCTATGTCTTGGGCTACTCCAATATAATTTTTGTCGGTGCATGTGTTTTAGCTGGCAGCACTGGTGCAACCATGAGAGGGTACTTTAGGATGTGCCAGGATTTGAACAAATTTCAACATGGGATAGGTCAATATATTTTTTTGTACATAATCGGTTATCTGAAAAATCAATTTTCTGAACAACCCCAGTCCCCAACTGATGCGGATAATCGATGCTGTACTGTATTTATATTTCAGATAAATTTTTTAAATAGAATTCTTACTTTATATTAATACAATTACAATACAATAACTTACTTGTTACAATTAGTGTTGGGTCCATTGAATTGTTTTTAAATCAACTCCTTCCTGAACCATTTCCCAGAGAGGACTGTTGTTATATTTTTATAAAATAATTATGTTTTAGTATATTCATATATCAAAGTTAAAATAAAAGGACTTGTATTTGTAAATACCTCATTTCTCTCAGTCGTTTTATATGATAAACACATTTCTTCACAGTGTATTCTATTTCTTCTTCTGTGGTAAATCTACCAATACCAAATCTGTAAAAACATCATTAGTATTAAAATTCCTAATAATATTTCTTTTTTATCAGTTTATAAAAAAAAAACCCAAAAAATGTTACCTAATAGAAGAATGTGCAAGATCTTCATCTGCTCCAATTGCACGCAAGACATAAGAAGGCTCCAGAGAAGCAGAAGTGCAGGCACTGTTTATAAATAAATGATATTGCCTAATGCATATAATCTTATAAAATTTATAAATATTTAGATTAATGTTCATAATAATTCAAATATAGACATCCCCACTTAACACTTTCTCAGCAGAATGTGTTTTGGATTGTGTATCCAAACTTTACAGAACATACTTATCTCTTGATGCAAGACTTTTTGACCAGTGTTTATTTAAGAAAAATTTATATTTGTCCAAAACTTCAACATATCTCACAGGAAATGTCTCAAGTTAAAAGCCAAATACAATTATTTAGAATATTAGAATCATTTATAGACATTATCAAAAATGAATATCAAAAAATGGAATATGTGTCTTGAATAGAGATAATACAGTAGAGCCTCGATTATCTGACCCCCGATTAACAGACACCTCGGTTAACCGACCATCCTAGTCGGCAAATTTCAAATGTCCGCTGGTGATGTGGCACTACAATATTTGGCTATGTCTTGGCTACTTTAATATTATTTTTACGTGTTTTAGCTGGCAACACTCATTCGACCATGAAAGGGAGCCAGTATTTAAATGAGGCTTAATTTTCTAATTTTTAACAATACAATAGCGACGATTATTATTTTAAAAAAATTTTGTTAGGCTTAACATTGATGAAAATTCAACGCGAAGTAAGTTAATGGTGATATACTAATATACTAATTATATGGGATTTAATAATATACTACACTAATAATGGATTTTTTCATACTTTTCGGTTATCTGACTTTTCAATTATCCAACCAACCACAGTCTCCAATTGAGTCGGATAATCGAGGCTCTACTGTACTGGAAAAGGAAAATCAACACCTCCTATTGCAGAAAGCCTAAACACTCTTTGTGCCACTGATAATAATAAATCAATTCTCCAATTTACAGGAATGTTTGAAATTTGTTAAGGAATAAATAACACATTCCTGTCTTTTATTGTAAATTTTTGTCTACAGTTTTTAAAACAAATTTCTTTATTGTTGCATATTATTNGCGGGTAAAAGAAAAAGACAAGTGTTTGTAGGTCCTACACTACATTAAAAAAAAACTACAATTTCAGCGAGAATTACGGCCCACCCCAGAAAATGATAGCGGAAAAAGTGTTGAGCTGATCTGCAAAAAGAAATAAAAAGTAGAAACGTAGAAGCTGAAAATTCTGATCCTAAACAAAAAAAAAAGGTCAACATCTTCCTGTACCGAATGTTATAATTAAAGGAAGTTTCATACTTTATGTGTGTTGTTATTGTCGATTCTTCTGAAATTTTCACTTTAATCAACAATAATTTGTCTCAACAGAGAGAAAATTAAATACATAGATTTTAAAATCACTGATATAGTTTTAATATGGCCCTAGGGGGGGTCGCCAGAATTTTTTAACTTGTAAAGGGGTCGCGTATTCAAGAAGGTTGAAAAACACTGATCTATACAATCATGATGAAAATGCAGAGAACATAATAACAATTCACTTTCTAGTATACCCATATAACAAAAAGCACTCTGCGTTAGAGTCTGTTCCAGTTATTGCTATGCCATCTGTAAAATATCATATTATTTGAATCTTAGTATTGTGATCTAGAATAAATTAATACAGGAATTCTAAAAAATAACCATTTATGTTAATTTTGTTTAATTTACATAATTTAGTTTTAATTTTTTAAAAATGAAAATATAATTATTGCAGTTCAAAACAAGAAAAACATTCTTCTTGCAATTCACTCTATCAAAATGAAAACATTGTTATTAATGGAAAATGTGAAGGCATTCAAAATAACTTGTATGCTAATGAAATTGTAAGTATTGGCATAATGTAATTTAAATATAGTTTTTAAAAAATTTTAAATTAATAGGAGATCAAAATTTTTAGGAAAATCTGAAATCTCCTTTTGAAGAGGAGCCACTTTATCAGTTTTATATAAAAGATGTTAAAACTAGAGCTATGTTATGGCAGAAGGAGAAAAGTGAAGACCAGTCCAAAATGGAAAATTTATATGAAAATATAAATGAAGACAGACCTCAGCTGAAATCTCAGTTGTCGGCAATGGAATTGATTGAATATCACTCTTCTGGACAACGAACTTTATGGTGTGAAGTACCTGAGGTAAAATATTAAAATTATGATGCTATTTGTTTTGTTCTGTATACTTTTAATTAGAACTGTTATAATTTAAAGGTTCAGAAAAGTGGCATTCTGTCTACATTATCGATACAAGAACGCAGTTTGCAGGAAGCATTGTTTGAAGTTGTCACTTCAGAGGCTTCATATTTAAAAAGTCTAAATATTCTAATTGAACATTTTATTCGATGTCCTGAATTCTCAGATGAATTTTCTCCAAAATGTGTTTTGAACAGGCAGGAAAGACATACACTTTTTTCTGATGTTTTTCCTGTAAAAGAAGTTAGCGAAAGGTAAGGTAAAAATTACATTAAAATTGTATTATCTATTACAACAAATAGTCCAAAAATAGCTATTTATTAAATAAATTTTTCTGACAGGCTGTTGGCTGATTTAGAAAATCATTGGAAGGAGAATATAATGTTAATTGATGTCTGTGACATCTTGCATAATTATGCCTTAAGAGATTTTTCAGTTTACGTCAGATATTGTTCAAACCAAATACATCAAGAACGAAAACTTAAAGTTTTAAAGTAAGTTTATTTGAATGCAAATTTATTAATA